CTTTATACCATGCACATTTTTTTGTTTTGTCTTTTTGAGACAGGGCCTCACTATTCAGTTTATGCTGGACTTGAATTCACTATGCGTCCCAGGCTCCCCTTGAACTCACAGCAATCCTCCTCCTTCAGCCTCCTGAGTGCTGGAATTAGACATGTGCCACCATGCCTGGGCAATACGATGTACTTTGAATGTACATTTAACTAGAGAAATCTTGATGTTTTTGGTCACAGGATTCTCCCTTAGTCCTTGCAGGAGCACTGTGGAATTTAGCGAACAGCACGTTGAAGTGAAAGTGCTGATGTTTGGGATGCATATTACAATGTACCTAGGCCCCAGGGAAAGCAAACTTGTACCGCTTCATCCTCCTCCAGTGTTTATAATTTGTAATGTTTTCCTATATGATGGATTTGGATTGGTCCCTAATTGTATACTTATTTTCAGGTTTTCCAGTTTCACTAGTGAGTTTGAGGGTTTTTTTCGTTTGGTTTTGTGTTTTCTTCATTCTTTTTATATGTCTACTAACTCTTCAGCCTTCTGTTATTTAACCCTGATTACTATAGTTTAATAATTTTATTGCTTCATTCCTTACTGACTTCTGGGAGATTATTATACCCAGTATCTTCTGGTATGTGAGTGCCATTTTTCTTTTTCTTTCTTTCTTTTTGTTATATAGTACTTTCAAGTTTAGCATATACATATGGCATGGTTACTTTTCTCTTGATGCTTAGACAAAATACTCAATGCCCCAGATTAAGGAAGGAAAGGTTTATTTAGCCTACAGGTTGTGGGGATTTCAGTCTGTAATAAGATGGTTCCAAGACAGGGTGGCTTGTCTCAGGGACAACCATCCAAGGCAGTAAAAGACAGCAAAAGCAGCAAGAGCACAAGGGGCCAGGTAGCAAGCCTCATTTCCTCCCTTATATTGTGTGTGGACTATGAGCCTACCTCCAGACCCTCTCCCTGCCCTCCTCTTCCACAAGCTGAAGTGGTTTACAAAGGAAGGACCCTGGCTCCCTGCTAAGTCATTTAGTTGAACTTTTAAACTTCTCAAGAGTTGACACAATGAATAACATCCTAGAGAGGTAAGGGAATGTTCTTTTCACCTGAGTATGTAGAACTTCTGAATTACTTAGTTAAGCTTCCAGACTCCTCAAGTTGACACAATTTATCCACCATAACAACATATTTTCCTTTGAAGTCAGTGATTTCTATTTTCTAATAGCACAGTCATCACTGAAATAAAAAGTCAAAATCAAGAGTTAAGGAAGGAAATTATAAAAGCAGAGCAGAAATAAAATTGAGAGTAAAAAACCAAGTACTCATTCTTTCAGAACTTTGAGGGACATCATTAGGCTATTTATTTGGGTTCCTTATGTTTTTCTGGTGTGGGGATTCATAGCTATAAACTTCTCTCTTACAACTGCTTTCATTTTGTCCAATAGGTGCTGGTATGTTGTACTGGCATTACTGTTTAATGGTAGGAACTGTCTAAATTCTTTTGTGATTTTTGAGTATTCAAGAGTGCATTGTTTACACTCCTGCATAATGTCTGTGCTTTCTTTCACCACTGATTTCTAATTTTACTGCATTATGATCTGATAGTATGCATGGGGTCATTTGATCTATGTAAGTCTGGTTCATTGGCTAGTATTTGGTCTATTTTAGAGAAAGTTCCATGCGCTACTGAGAAGACAGGGCATTGTTGTTGAAGCCAAGTGGAACCATCTGTAGATATCTATTAAGTCCATTTGTTGGAAGGTGTGGTGCAACTCTGATATTTCTTTGTAGATTTTTTTGGTTCAGTTGATTAGCATGTTTGTGACAGTGGACACTGACATCACTCACCATAACTGTGTTGATGTTTATGTGATCTTTAATATTCAATAGTGTTTGTTTGATGAAGTCAGGTGCACCAGTGATCAGCGCATATGTAGTTATATTTGTTATTTCATCCTGTTGCTGACTTATTCTTGTGTGCATAGTCATTACGAAGTGGAGATGGGGAAAAGCCAAATTCAACTCCACTATTTTCTGATTTCTGGGGACCTATAGGAAAGAAGAAGAAGGCTTTTGGACAGGACAGAAATCACATTCAATCTAATTACTTCTAGTCCTTGGCATCTCAGGAAAGTAAAGATTACTTTTCAACAATATTATTACTATCCCCTATTAGGAAGCCATAAATCTTAGGAATATTAGTAAGTGATGGGCCAACATTAGCTCACTAAATTCTCCCACAAATTGCTGCACCAGATGTGATAACTTTTACTTTACTGTTGGCTTACATAGCTAGTTAGGGATAAAAATTGGATTTGAACACAGGCTGGTTTTATTTAAAATACATTATGCTATTACCACCACGAAAAATGTGAATTTTGTTTATTTTACAGTCAGTGTGACTCTGGATCCAAACACAGCTTATCCTGCCCTAACTCTGTCTAATGATCGGAGAAAAGTGTTTAATGGATGCTACCAACAGAATCTCACAGTTTCTTCCAGGAGATTTACAGTCTTTCCCTGTGTCCTGGGCAGTGAGGGCTTCACCTCAGGAAGACACTACTTCGAAGTGCATGTTGGAGAAGGAACAAATTGGGATGTGGGAGTTTGTATGGAAAATGTGATGCGGGGCCTTGGCATGAAGCAGGAGCCTGAGCTTGGATTCTGGGCCATCCAGCTGTGCCCGGAGAATGGCTATGCAGCACTGACCTCTCCCCGCACTGCCCTTGATCTGCGAGAGCGACCCGTGGTGGTGGGGATTGTTCTGGACTATGAGGCTGGAACTGTGTCCTTTTACAACATGACCACTGGCTCCCACATCTTCACCTTCCCCAAGGCTTCTTTCTCTGATATTCTGCGGCCTTATTTCCGAATTTGCCAGCGTTCTCCTTTGTTCCTGCCTCCCTGTAACGAGTAAAGAAAAGAATAAAGTCTCCTTGGGTTAGACAGCACTGAACATGCATAAAGCCTATATGGGCACAAATTGCTAAGTTTTATTTACTGCTCTTCCTTCAGATATAGTGGATACCCACTCTCACCACTGTTGTTCACATAGATTTGAAACTTTGAGAGAACAATCAGGCAAGAGAAAAGAAGTGGAAAGACATGTACAGGAAAGAAAGAAGTCAAAATAATCCTTATTCACAATGATATGGTTCTTTATATCTAAGATCTGAAGAATTCTACCAAAAGATGATGCGTGAATGTGAAAGATTACAGTTTATTTTAGGCCAGAAATAAGAGGTAAAGGAAAGGAAATAAAAAAAGAAGTGCTCCAGGAGAAATGCATGGTTTGAAGGAAAAAGAGAAGATAACGGCTGCAAGCAGAATGGAGCACTGTAAGAGCAAGGGGGCTATAGTGGATTGATAACTGGTGGTCAACTTATAACCTCCCCAGCTGAACTGAGTAAGCGTGATGCTGGGTGTGGGAGGCCCACCTGGGGATTGTTGCCAGCAGTATAAGCAGAACTAGAGAAGGTGAGAAAGGCTTTTGGGAGCTGAAGAAGGCTGTGGAGTGCAGAGAAAGGTTGTTGGAGCTGTAGAAGCTGTAAGGAGCTGTTAGTTGCGTTAGAGGAGGTTGTCATGCTGGCTTTCCTGATGAACTTGGCTGTTTTCATCCTCCGAAGAGTTCAGGACCTTGTTGGCACTGAGAATGGCTTTGGTTCACTTTGGGGAGCTCTGGTCCTCACTTTGAGCATCCCTTCGTGTCTCCAGAGGGGAAGATGGTGCACTGCCAGTCTCCTGGAGAAGCTTGTTGCATTGGCTTCCCTGATGGGAACTCAGCCATCTTAATCATCAGAGTAGCTGGGGACCTCACTGTTGCTGAGGATGGCTGTGGTACCTTTCGGGGGAGCTCTGGTTCTTCTGAGCATTGCTTCCTGGCTCCAGTGCAGATTCCTCAGCCTGCTAGCACAGATCCTTCATCCTGCTGACACAGACTTTCCTAGATTCCACCACTGACCTTTGGGTCTTCACAGCAGATCCAAGAAACAAGCCTGCATGAGATATTGTTGTGGGCCCTGAGCCTCCAGTTGGATTTGTGGGAGGCATTGTTATGAGCTCTGGGTCTTCGGTTGGACTTATGTAGGACATTATCACGGGATCCAGGCCCTCAGCTAGTTCCCTTGGTCTTAGTGTGTGAATAGATTTCCTGAACTCTCTTGTGTATGGTTCTTGTGTGACTGTTACAAATAATCTTATAAAATATGTGTCCTGTATTATATTGTGTTCCCTTGCAAAAATAAGCCCCAAACTAACATAAGGGCCATGGCCCAAAGTCAATTTCTGCCATTTTTTTACATCTTCTTTGATAGTTGGTTCAGGTGGTCCCACTCGATTTCAGAGAGAAGGTTGACATCAAGTGACAGATCTGGCACATTCTTGTGTCAGAGGATTGATACCTGGTTTCAGGTTCAGTGTGTTCTTGTGTCAGAGGATTAGTACTGGATGTAGAGGTTGGCTTGATCTTGTGTCAAGCCTGGGAGTTGTTGCCCTGCACCGTGGTTAACAGTTCTCTTCAGTTGACTGGTGGTACCCTGTTGCTCCAGCCATGTTGCCAAAATGAGATTTTCTCATTCAAAGGCAACCAGAAACTGGGAATCCCGGAAGACTGGAATAGAAAATACAGCATTTTTAAAGTTTAGAACTGAAAACCAATTTGTGTCCTCTGGAATCTGGGAGAGAACTGTAAAAGGATCTATTGCCAGGCAGTGGATTAGAATTACAGCCTCATAAATGAGATGAAAATCTGTGCCATCCTATATTCTGAAGTTTTTACTAAGGGGAAAATGGGAATATTGCAGAAAGCCATGTTTGAAAAAACTGTCTAGGAGAGGCTAGAGGCCTTCATGGACTTCTTCTTTGATTGCATGCAGTTTTCAGTTAGGAAATTAGTTGGGGTCTTTCAGCTTTTAACTACTGGCTTTGATGTGTTTGCTTACCCAGGTACTCTATTCCACCAAAGAGTAGGATTCACCTGTTGGGTGATCAGGTGAGGGAGGCTTGATGCAGTCCCAACAGGTAAAATTTGCTTTTGCCTTTGCTGGATTTTGAGAATTGCCCCAACGTTTGCAAATAAATTTCTTCCTAGCAAAGGGGTAGAATATTATGGAACAAATCAAAAACTTGGGGGTAAATATTTGCCCTTCAGTGTGACATGTCAAAGCAGGAGTGAAGAAGCTGTGACTAGGGATCTTCTCAACTCCAATAGCTACAGATATGGAAGAAGGCTTTCTAGAGAAGGTTAGAACAGATTGAGCTGTTCCTGTATCTACCAGTAATTGAATTGACCCATCCATGTTGTCCAAGGTCGTCCAGGATTTTTCACAGGACATGGAGATGTCCATGGACAGGGGAATTGTAAGCTGTCCTGGACCCCATCAGTCTTTGTCAGAGCAAATGAGTGTTTCAGCTGGCCTACTCTGCTCTGGGAATGGGGCTGCTCTATCCTTCTGTGTCACAAGTTAGGCACACTGGCCACCTCACACACCAAACAGTGACTGGGAGATGGCCTGGTGCAGTGGCACGCCCAATGTCCACAGTCTTTTTACACTTAAAGGAGGAACCCTTTCCTGGATTTTCTATGGCTTTCCTTTTAAACCACTTGGCACCACTGAAAGCATTGCCAATTGTGACAGCTAGAATTTTGGCTTTTTTCTCAGTGTCATCTGGATTCTGATTGTTGGACACAGAAATGGCCACGACTCACAATTAGGCCAGAGGCATCTGAAACTCCATCGGAAGTTTTGTAACTTGTACAAGTATCTGGGGCTGATTACCAAATGAAATGGTGTCCCATCAGTGCCTGTCCCTCCTGGAAGATAGATCTAAGCTTTTCTATTTATGAAAAGCTTCTTCTAAGTGGCTAATGGTGTACAGTTCAAGACTTTACTTTGTCCTGTTCTAGTACATTCATTTTATCATAATTAGCAAATTTCTTCATGAATTTTTCATCCCCATGATAAGAGCTATTATCACTATTCTTTGTCCATTACTATTATTATAGTCCCAGTTTGGTTCTGTCCGAGGGATAACAACATTCTGGGGTGATTTTCTTCCCTTCTTATACTAAATTGTTCACCTGCATAGTTCCTAGCCTCTTCTAGGATTCTGTTTTTTATCTGGGTGGCAGCAAGTGATCAGGATGAATTGGGAATCTCACCAGAATAGGTGAAAAGCAAGGATCTAAGTTTAAAATCATCTGCAAAGCCTACTAGTACCTTCTGAAAGTCAGCCTAGCCATTATTGGAGATCTGCCATTGAAAAGGAGTTCTGGACTCAAGTGATTCTTTTGCCCCTGCGACTTCTCTCAGGGGGAGGATGAGTTGTGAGCTAGAAGGGTAAGAAGCTCCACTTTGAATATATCCTGCGGGACTTAAAATCATCTCAGGAGCATGATGAGTGGGCTGGGGAATACTGGATCCCGCTGGGGCACCAGGTTCTCATGGAGCTCTTGAGTCACTTCAAGGGAAGGAGACTGTTTCACTGACCTGAGCATTATAAGGAGGAGGTCTAGGGGGGCGCTTCAGTGTGGTTACTTTCATCATCGGGGGAGAGACCCATATGCCCCTAGGAAACAGGTAGGGTTCCAAGACAAGATCATCAATGATATCAATCTCCTCCTCCTCGGGGACCACTGTAATTTCCAGAGTGGACTTTTCCAATGATAAAGAGTTACAAAAGTCTGAACAGAGGGAATTTCATTTCACTTTCCATGCTTTTTGCAGATATGGTCTAACTCTAAGATAGTGTTGTCATTTAAACTGCCATCCTTTAATCATCTCTCGCCATTCCATAGATAGTACTGGGCCCAAACTGCATTACAGTAGTAGATAAGTTGTTCCTTTTTCAGGTTGTCAGGGCCAAATTGTACCCACTATTGAAAGACATGGCCAAATGTTGAGATTGGTGAGCTCTGCAGGGCGTTTCTCAGGATGTTTCCCATGGCATGTGTTGTAGCCTATGGAGAGAGGGAACTAGGGCTGGACTCTCCTTCAGAGGGTGTCCCTAGCAGGAGGAGGTGGACCCGTGAGTTCACAAAGTGCCCCTTGTGATACAGACATTCCTTGGCTAACAAATTACTTGTTTAATGACTATTTGGACTTATAGCCAAGAGAGACATCAGGAAGCAGGAGGCCTCCAGACGGCCAGCTCACAGCTCTCATTTTGCAACGCAAGGAGGTTCAGTGTATCCTGGCAGGGGCTGTGGGAGCAGACCCCCCAGACCACAGGACATATGGGCTCCTGAAGCCTCCAGCACACAGACAATGAGCAATAATGAGCCCAGAATATCTCTTCACAGATAACACCTCACTCTTTGCTGTGGGTGTTTCTTTGAACTCAGGCTCGGTTCACCAAAATTTATGCTGTCAAAAATGAAGAAAAATTCAAACTTGCAGCAAAAACAAAACTTCCATAACCAGACAGTGTCTGTCTTGTGATAGCTGTAAACTACCCCACCCACTTCCTGTTGCTTGAAGGAGGAGTTTGTTCATGCAGGAACCTGGAGGGCTTAGAAAAGAAGAGGATCAGATGAGCCTCAGGTCTGAGTCTCCAAGCTAGTCCTATGGGACACCAACAAGAATTTGGTCAACAGCAGGAATCCACATGTCAAAGGAGCTCAAAGAATCTGCTGTAGGATAAACTCTGCCTAGGTACACTATAATCAAATGATGAAAAGACAAAGACAAAGAATCTTGCAAGCAGAAAGAAGCAACTCCTCACACACAAGTGACCTTTAATATGATTAACAAATGACCTTTTATCAGAAACCATGGAAGTCAGTAGGCTGTGAATGACATGCTCAAAATGTCAGAAAAAAAGACAGTCTGCTAAGAATTGTGCCCCAAAGTACTCCTTTGAAAAAAAAAGAGAAATTAAGATATTCTCTGATAAAAATGAGTGCGTCACTGGGAGATCTGTTCTATAAGAAATATTTACAAAATGTTCCAGGTGGAT